TATACCATTAAGAATCTTAATTATAGCTTAGCTCAGTAGAATATAGAGTAGAAACAGATGAATCTGAATCAGACTCTTCATACTGTTTCCTTTTCTTTAACTTATGCTTACTTTTTTTTTTTCTTCTTTTCTTTCTTTCCCTTTCAGCTGCTCTTTCTTGTTTCAGTCTTTCTATTTCTTTTTTTTTTATTTTCTTTTGAAAATACAATTGGCCAAGTTCCCCAGACACTAAAGCAGGTATTCTTTCTTTTATGTTTTTCTTCTGTGGGATTTTCTAGCCAACAACAGGGGAACAGAATGTATATTTTTTAAATGGAGATGGTATACTTGAATGTCTAGCAATTGTAGTAACTTCATTTCTTTCAACTATGGGAGATAGTACATTTGATTGTCTTGCAATTGCGGTATCTTCATTACCTTCAACTATGGGGAACAGTGCGTGTGATGGTCCTGCAATTGTGGTATCTTCATTGCCTTCAACTATGGGGAACAGTACATGTGATGGTCCTGCGAATAAGGCATCTTCATTGAAATCAACTATGGGAGACAGTACATTTAATGATCCTGTGATTGTGGTATCTTTGTTGTTTTTAACTATGGGGGACATTACATGTGATGATCCTGCAATTGCAGCATCTTCATTGTCTTTAACTATGGGAGAAAACCTTTTAAGTTCTAACTCAGTTTTCTTCCGCAATAGAAAAAGGGATCCTTCTTTCAGAAGGACCCCTTTCCTAATTAATTGTAGATTGCTCAAACAATTCCAATTTTTCTTTTCCTATACTCTCATTCAAGAATTGCAATACCTGTTTATCATATTTCAGACATGAATGTATGTCTTCATTTAGCACATCATTCTGCACAGTAATTTTATTTTTATTTCCTGGAACCCTCGGTATGGTTGGATCCCAAGGATAGAGTCCACACTTGCGGAAACTGTTGGTCAACACATAATCTAAATAATAACATCTAAATAATTGCTGCGCCACTTATAAACATGTTGCTTCTAATTTTTTTTAATTTGTAAAACACTGAAACATCCATACACTGTAAAATGAGTGTAGCATTAAGATATAAAGCCACCAAAATAATGCCAATTTGATCGCAGAACTGACTTGTTTTCATATTTAAATGGGAAACATATCCATCAACAAATAAAATAACAGGAAGAGTTATATTATTTACTTAAAGCCAAGAGTGAAAAAAGTTTGCCAAGGAATCATAAAATAGTTCTGATTTCATCCAACCGGAATCACTTTTTCTTAGTGCCCAACTGGAAGGAAAATTTAGCATTATTTCCATAGGCAGCCACTCTTATTTGTGGATCAATAATGGTGTTACAACACTGCTTTTGGCATTGCCAGTAACCAGTACTACGAGACACTTCTTGTCATGAATTAACTTGTTGATCTATTGTCTTAACTTCCTTTCTTGCAAGGACTTTATTTCCTTTAAGAAAAAAAGTGGTCTCGTCGTAATTAAAAAGCCATAATGGGTGCACCAGGACTTGTAAAATAACTTATTTTTTAAAATATTCCTTAACTTCTGTGAACCACCATTTGCCGTTCACAGAGGTTAACAGGAAACTGTTAAGTTTTGACTTAGACATTTAGATATACTTTCATTTCTTCTTAAAAATCTGTGGATCCATATCCTCCCAGGACAATTGTTAGTAAAAGAATTGTCTCTACCAAGGTCATTCACCAACCGCTATAGAATATATTGATGTTGTTTAACAGTTACAGGGAATCCTGCTTTTTTAGGACCCAGTTAGCAATAACTATTTCCTCTTCATAGCTTAGAATGGTTTGATGTATCATTTATGTTTCAATGGGTGAATTGCCTTCCAATTTATATTTTAGAGCAATTCTTGGTACACCATGTTTTAGCTGCTGCCCGGACTGACATAATATTATTTCTTACATCTTGGATGGCTTCCTACATAGTTTTTTTCTCAGTATTTTCAAATTTCAGAATTCAGAAGTTGACACATGGTTCTAGTCTATGACTTCCTGGTTATCTATTAGATAAATTTAACTTATTATGTTAACAATATAAAAACAAGTGTAGTTTGCTAAAAAAATATGAAACATGCATGTAACAATGAGTTAAGATAAACAAAGGAATAATTGAGTAATTGACCACCCCTGGTCAATTACTTAATTATTTTAATGTTCTGATCCAATATATGACCACCCCCATAACTGACTACAGATGGCAGTAAACAGATAATAACTTTTTATTAGTATCAAACATACCTATTTCAAAATAAAATCATGTAATCTGAAAATAAATGGTACTTTACTTTTTAAAATTAACTTTATTTGCGGCTTCTCCTAAGCAAATTGCAAAAGAAAACTCAAAAAAATAGACAAGAAAATAACACATTAACATTGACTGTAAGTCATCTTTGTTCAAAGCTGTCAAATGTTTGCTGCGTTTACGTATGTACAACCAAATAGTAGGAGAGCATTTTCTTGCTGTTTTTCAAATTGTTCTTCCATAGTTAGGCTTATATTACCAACTTTTCTTCTAAATGGTCAATTACTGGGACATGGGGAATTACTGGTACTGTTATCTATATTAAGCTTAAGTTCAGGTATATATATAAACAGTATTTTGGTGTGAAAACCAGTTTGGATATGGTAATGCTAATATGTACTGGTCATTGTTTAATAGGACACACCTCCAACAGTGTTTATGTTTCAAAAAAGTGCACACGCAAGTTTTTCTAGCAAGGTATGGTTATAGTATACACAAAAAAGTATTTCAAAAAATTTGAAAAGTGCGATATAAAAAAAAAGGGTATTTTTCTCTCATTAACATATACAGAAAAACAACTGGTTTAGAATGGAATTCATAGAAGAACTTATTTAAGGCATAGACTAGTAGCCAATAAGCTAACTCTTAAATAAATACCATTATTTAAAATAACATTTATATTTCATATTAATAAATTAAAGAATCCTATCTAAATCAATAATAAAATATTTTAGTTTAAACATTTTGTTAGCTAATATAAACTGAACATAATAAAGCCTCAAATTCTCTCTGCGTTGTATGAAAGTACAACATGTAATAGATTGCTTTTGTATGTTTCTTTGTGGAAATCACTCGGAAGTTCGTATCTGGAAAACTCACTGAATCTCAAGTGAATAGTTTCTCCTACCTGTTTGCTGTAAATTCCCAGTCCATTTCCATTATTTCTACAAAACTCTTTACATGGCAAAATAATATATGGAGTTTGGTACTCTTTGTTTTGATCTCCAAAGTAATAGAAATATCAAAAAAATCATATATTGGTTTTTCAAAATCCATACTGAGTATCTTGCTAAAACATGAGTAAGTCACAGTATCAAAAGCATCAAAGACATCACAAAATCCCCTAAGATCTTCAGGAAGAGCATTTCTAAGCTTATTATTTGTTAATGTCATCAATTTCTTACACTGGTTTCCTTCAATCTCTCCACCATGAAGTTTTTATCTGACAAGGGAATTCCTTTCTAAGAAGATTTCCCATTTTTCTTGTCCCTATCTTGTTGATAGGTTATTCCACAATAGATTAGTTGTTTCTGTAAAGAGATGAAGTTCGGGTATATTGCATACTTCCATAACTTCAGTTTCATCATCTCCTGGCAGAAGTGGTTGATTCTTGCAATTATAAAATTCTTTCAGTGACAAGTCAGAATTACATCCTTGTTTCCAAGCAAGATTTTGCTCTCTAATTGATCCAAAGATTCGTTTCTTTCCTCTAGAGTAAAGCCAATCTACACAATCTGTACTCTTATTTCAGATGCAACAAGGATACTTTGAACTATGATTTTGAAGTCCTAAAATCAAGTTAAGTAGTTTCAAATCAGTGCAAATTTAAACTGAATATTTCTAAAGTCAATACTTTTGAAAAAAACAGCACAATTTTCATAATTCTCCTGAATATTTGGAACTATTCCAAAGAGTAATGTCTGATCAACGGACGTTTCTTTTTTTAGGTTCGGACAAATGCCCTCGGAATAGTTTGATCTCTTGGTGATATCATCACTAAAGTAACTTGCCACATCAATAGTACCAATTCCAAGCTTTAAGAAACCTCCACCGCCATAAATAAATACTTTCACCTAAACATTAAAAGCATCTTGTTTTCTTTTTTCAATTATTGCATAATACACAAATATATAACATAAATATTATTATATAATACAAAATTTTAAAATCTATTTATATTATGTAATATGGTTGAATTATATAAAATAATTAAATTATATAATATATATTGTTATATAATAAAGTACTAATAGTTAAAGTAATAATTAACCAAAAAATTAACTGTAAGTATCTATTATAGTTAATTTTATGAATTTACAAACAATTCATAACTTAATAATATTTTAAAAAGGCTTCTGGCTTTTACCACTTCTTAGTTTATTTTACTGGTTTGTACCAGTTTAATATATATATAGTAGTAGTAGTAATTGTAGTAGTATGAAAATCTGCAGCACATTTAAACAAGGGTTAAATAGTGTGGAGCACGCCAACAGTAGATGACGCCCTGTGGCAGTTTTGCTGATTAATTGTCCATATTGTCAATCTTGAACAACTTTACATCTTTGGCATTTGTTATCTGCTCGGGGAGGTTATTTCATTTAGAGAAAATACGATTAGTAAAAAAGTGTTGTCCAGGCTGTTAATTTCTTATTATTTTCTGTCTTAGTTGTGATCGAGTTTTTTATATAAATATAATTTTGAATGACAAATATAATTGTTTACTTATTTTAAAATTATTTTATTATTTAATTTTAAAACAAAAAAAACACTGTCAATTGATGGGACATGCTTTTCAAATTTTGTGAAATACTTTTTTGTGATCACTATAATCATACCTTGCTAGAAAAACTTAATTTGGGCATGTGCACTTTTTAAAATACTGTTATGGGGAGGTTTGAGGATCAATGCATTATTAAAAAAAAATTATATTGTTTAATAAACCAAATAAAAAAATTTACTTTCATAAACCGTATCTTTGGCGAAGAAAGTAATCCACATGAACTAAAATAAATAAAACCATTTGTTTTTTCAACAAAATAAAAAAATTAAAAATTGAATTTAGATTTTTTGGGGGTGAGTGAACTTTAAAGTCTTTTATAAATAAAAAAAATAAATGTCACTTACACAGCAAATGCATCTAAGGGAAGTTTATTGATATCAAAAACCTCTTTGTCGCTTTGAAGATATACAGATCTTGCATATGAAACAATACACTGAAAACATGAAAAAATAATTTATTAAAAATTGGTAACTTTAAAATTATTTAAAAATTTTTTTAAAAAATTTAATAAAAAGAGGCAATACCCTTTGTGCCCAGTATTTAATTTCTTGATCTTGTGCACAGAATGCCTGAAGTTTTCCTTCTATTGAGAGCAATTTTTTTGGGTTGGCCCTAAGTTTTAAATTAAAAAATATATATAAGAACATAAGAACACAAACATACAAGAAGAGGAAAAAAAAGATATAACTGAAATCTACAATACTAATGTGATTGCATTTGCATTTTTAAAACGTGATTTTTACAATATAGTTATAATTGTAATTTTTTAAAATGACTATATGATGACATTAATGATGACAATGATAATGAGCGTGGTGAATTATGGTATTGTAACAAAAAAAAATTTTTTTTGTATTGCAAATTGAATTATTTTTTGTAACTTTTCAGATTGCTTCTGTAACTAGTTGTGGAAAAAAAGTTAACACTTTGTTGTGACACAAGTAGAGATGCAGTCAAGAGTGTGAAGGTTAAAGAGGAAAAAAACCTGTAGAGACACTGTACTGATGAACCACCCATAGCTTACCACCTACAATGCTAAATGACTTTCTCCATAACTTTCCTGAAAAACGAATCAATCTTTACACCATCTGATGAACAAAGGAATTTCACTCAGATTACAATGAAAGATTTATTCGATATGCGTAACATCCGAGGATCATTTCACAATAAGGGTGGAAAAAAAAAGAGCCACCGCGGAAATGATTAATCAAATGATTACAAACAAATCGGACTACGACCTCACTGAAGCGGAGAGGCAAGTATTAAACAGAGGGTTGGGATTTATTCAAAACAACCAACACGTTCCGGAAAAGATGTTTAAAAACGCAATATCAAAATTAAAAAGGAATATGCTACTTAGAGTTCATTTTAAGGACAATGAAGGACCACCCCAACGAATACCAATAAAAAGGAGACTCGATACGGTTTGAAATCCTCCTGCAACCAACAATGCAAATTTAAATCTTTTTTTCGAAAGAATTAAGAGTGAAATGGACACGGTGCTAAATGAGAGAATGAAGATAGCACACTCCAACCTAACGAAAAATATGAAAGAAGCAATCACATCACTAAAAAGTAATAACAATATCATCATCAAGCAAGCTGACAAAGGTGGTAGCAATCGCATCTTAAACAGGAGAGATTATGAAGAGAAAATTAATACCATACTATCAGATGGTACCACATATAATCTCCTACAATACGACCCCACCATAGAAATGTCACGGAACGTTGTATCCACAATTGATTACATCTTATTCAAAGGAGTGATTGACGAAAAGACTGCAAATTACATACGTCCAAACAATCCTTGTCGCCCTTCCCTGTTCTATGGACTCCCCAAATACACAAGACTGGAATTCCTCTCCGACCTATTGTATCTGCTTGCGATGGTCCCACAGATCACCTCTCATACTTTGTGACTAAGTTCATATAACCACTAGCCAAAACACTTCCATCATAACTCATAGACTCCACACAATATCTTCACATGCTCCAAAATCAACCACTACCGCCTCAAAAATACATCTTCGTCACTGCTGACGTTACCCCCCTGTACACTAACATACCCCATAAGGATGGTATAGAAGCCATCAAACTACTTTTTAATAACACACCACATGACCTAAGACCACCCAATTCACCACCTGTAGCATATATACAGATTATGATTGACACCATTCTGACAAACATGACGTTCCAGTTTGACGACTGCAACTATTTACAAATGACAGGGACATCTATGGGTACACCCATGGCACCACCATAGGCATACACACCATACACCATACACATATTCATGGGCAAATTAGGCAAAGCCATCACTGGACAATTTAAAGACAGCATCACGTTCTACAAAAAATTCATAGATGACATTTTTTTAATATTCACAGGCACTATAGAAGATCTTGAACATGTTATAACATTTATGAACAACCTGCACCTATTACCCTATTATTATAATAAGCCCTATTACCCCACCATTAAATTTACTTTTAACCACTCAGATACTTCCATTGACTTTATGGACCTAACTCTCTATAAGAACCATCTAGATAAAATACAGAGCACAATTCACCGTAAACCCAACGACACAATGAGCCTTCTACATTTCAGTTCATACCACCCACATCATATCACATCAGGTCTCATCCACAGCCAAGCAATCAGATACAATAGGCTTATATCTAACTCCCACCACCTATATAAGGAGCTCCGCACATTAGCGCGCCAATTGGTTCTTAAGGGGTACCATCTTGATATTATCAACAGGAACATCACTAAAGCCCTATTACACACACAGAAAGATCTTATCCACAAAAACAAAGAACCCAATGACACCCACATCTTCCCCATAGTCACACCTTACAATGAACAAGGTATAGGTATCAAAGTGATATTGCACAACTGGCACCTTATCCACAATGACCCAGAACTCTGCACACTATTTCCATTGGTACCCACCCTCACACACACTGACACACTTTTCTTCAGATAGACTTATCCGCACTAAATACACTGCCCATCACAATAACTGAACATCCACTGTTTGCTCTAGTTCGTATTCAGCTGGTAGGACATAGTATTTTGTTTTTAAATACCAAGTTGTTTTTTTTTAATAAAAATTATAAATGTTTAATAAAACCATATCTAATTAATTCTTATAACAAAGATTTTGTATTTAACAACTTAAACTTATTATATATATGCCGCGTTGATTACTTATTTCTGCCCCCACCCGCATGTTACAATTTTGTATTTCAAATATTTTACACATAAAATATACCGCCTATGTTGTTTATGTTTTTTACTTTATTACATGATCTATCAATAAGCAAAATTGTTATATTATTATTCGCTCGACGCCTATAGTTTATTATTCGACGCTTATAGATACGCCAGAATATTACTAGAGGGCTTTTGTTAATACCCCTTAAACAAAATGCTTAGACATATTTACAAGAAAGATACTAGACATGATTTACACACTTAACTGCTATTTTAGGATGAACATGATATAGAGATATTCCTTCGCCAAGCCACGGAGGACGCAAATGCATTATCTAACGCAAGTCTTGATAGAGAACGATACATCGTTTACAAAGAAATGAATGGAATATGCTTCCACCCTAAGAATACCTGGCCACTATCCATACAGAAAATATTCCGGAACATAACTATAACCAACACTAAAACATTCAAATTGACACTTTTTTTTCATTGGTAACGGATGCTCTTCATACTTAATATTCAAATTCCTTATTCTCGGCTTTAGAAAAAATCGCGCAAAATATAAAAAAAGAATATACCAACTGCTGCGGCTAGCTAGAAACATTGAGAACCATTCACATAGATGGTTTTATTTTGAAATTTATCTCAATTCTATGAGATATTTAAACATGGACCCTTGTCCATGTGAATGGAAAAACCTTGAAGATAAACAAAAAGATTTATCCATATTTTATTTAGAATAAAAAAATAAAATATCACAATAAATGCATTTTATATCTTATAAAATACATACTAACCACACAAGGACTACAACGATCAAACTTTGCTATACACTTTTTACATATGGAACGCCCCAAAATAATAGATTAAGTTTAGCATGCGTTCTTTACAAGACAGATCCATTTGATTATCACTTTTGCCATTCTTTAGGTGGTAGATTAGCCACTTTACTTACTTACTTTTAATTTTTATTTTTTCTATTACATTTTAGTCACTCTAATAGCTTATACCATGTATTTCGGTTATACTTTTTGTATTTGACTACCATATTGTTAGATTTTTTTGATCCTAAGAAAATTTATCTGATGTCGATAAGTCAGTTTGTTTTAGTTTTGCACTATACAGCCTTCAATAGCGTTCTTATGGTTATTATGTAAACAATCTTTTTTTTTCAACTCGATTTTTTCAGTCGGCTAGAGACTCTTTGATCAATTACGCATTTATGACCTGTGTTGGTCCACTTTCAAATAGTATTCTACATACTAAATTATTATTCATTTCTGGTGTATCCACTAATTATATTGTGTATCTGGCTATCTTGAGTTATCAATCTATTTATTATTATCTAATACTATTTTCAGTTAGGAATTATCTCCATCTATCAGGTGAGATTTATATTCTCTGAACAATTTGTCTTACTAAACTCCACACTACGTTTGTATACCTTTACCACGTACTATTTTTATCCTAGTTTATATCGTTACAAGTCGTAATTTCCTGGATTGTTAATATACATATATATGTAAACAGATATATATTAAGCATTACGTTATTAAAAAATGGTAAGTAACTTTGAAGTACTATGTGGTATCTACTGCTTATTATTTATTTTGTTGCCATTGTCACTATTCTATATGCTTTATTGTCACTATTTTGTATAGATATGTTCATGTGTATGTATGTATGTATGTATGTATGTATGTATGTATGTATGTATGTATGTATGTATGTATGTATGTATGTATGTATGTATGTATGTATGTATGTATGTATGTATGTATGAGTGTGTGTGTGTGTATGTATGTATGTATGTATGTATGTATGTATGTATGTATGTATGTATGTATGTATGTATGTATGTATGTATGTATGTATGTATGTATTTATATATAAAGGTTTGTATCTATGTATATATGAGGGATATGTGTATCAGGGCTCGAATTAAGCGTATCGCGATCGCGAATCACAATTGCTTTTTAAACCTTCATGATTAGTTTTTTCTTAAAACATATTTTCGCGATTGGTCTACTTTTTTAGTTGTTTATTTACTATTTTTCTAACTTAGCTTTTTTTTTTTGGCGATTCTTAAAATTAATGTTTTCATAGTAAAGTACGTCATGCAAAGTTTGTCTTTTGAATAGAAGCATGATCATTTGCTTTTGAATAGAAGTATGATCATTTACTCTTTCGCGCTGAGATTTTTAATCAACGTAAAGCACTTTTTAATTTAAACTTTAAATCTCTGAGTAGAAGCAAATTAAAAAGACAAAAGTTAAAAATAATTTTTTCTTCATTTTATTTTTTTAACAAAACAGCATTTTTATCTTTTTTAAAAAGAAACGTTGCTCCAAATTAACTTAACAATAATGATTCAAATTATT